ACATTTAAAAATTTCCCTTCCTTTGATAAAACTGTAATTGAATCTTAATTAACTGCTTCCTATGATGGCATCCTTTCTAATGAGGCCTTAATAGACTGACAGCCACAACCTATAGTTTCATGAAGCAAAAGAACACTGCAGTACTATCGGGAACTGCTTAAGAGAGTCATCAACACAGATAGACGTTACAGCACATTCTCTTTCACCCGCTAAGAACCCGACAATAACTGGATGTGAAGAAACAGGTATGACCCCCACCAATCAGTCATGGTTATTTTTTGTCATCCGGTGTTGTTTCCATGATCTGCTGTAAAGGGTGTTTGTATTACAAGAAGTATGCTTGTCAGTTAATGAGGAGGGGACTGAAGAGGGAAGCTATGCTGTTGTTAGGTACCATCAGGCTGTTCCCCTCACAGGGACCGCCTTCTGTACAACGGAAAGAAACACTGCCCAGTCCTGCGCCACCCTCACAATAGTGACTATGTTTTAACCCACTATTACAGCCACCGTCAATCCATTTTGTTGAGGGTCTTCCTCTTTTTTGCCAAGAACCAGGTGCTTCTCCAAGGACTTCCTGATCACGTCCCAAGTACAAGAGACAAAGTTTCACCACCCTCACTTTCAGGGAACGTTGTAACTGTACTCGAAACTCAAACTCACTGCCATTGAACCAAGTCTGACTCGTAGCCTCCCTATAGGGCAGGTACAACTGCCCCTGTGGGTCTCTGAGACGGTAGCTCTGTAAGGGAGTAGAAAGCCAGGTCTTTCTCCCACTAGCCATAAGTGTACAGCCTCCACCACTGCAGCAGAGCCTTTTTAAGATTTTAGGGAGCCCGGCTGGCACATTGGGCTGCTAACTATAAGGTCAGCAGTTCAAACCCACCAGCCACTCAGCAGGATAATGATGAGAATTTCTGCTCTCATAAAGATTTATGGGGGGGGAAAAAAAAGATTTATGGACTTCGAGATCCCAGGGAGAAGTTCTACTCTGTCCTATAGGGCTGCTATGAAGTAGAACTGACTCGATTCTGTCCCCTCCCCCCATGGTTTTCCTTAAAGCTGATTATGATTCAACACCCATCTCGAGAGAATTACAGTTACAGTTATGTTTGGGAAAATTAACATCATGTAGAGAAAGTAAAATGAATATGTGAAAAACTGATTCATGTCCAAGATAAATGTATCTGCAAATGAGATGCACTAAACAGGATCTTAATAGTATGCATCTGAACTTATTTCATACTACATTATTAAAATGAGGGAGTAAATCACCAAAATTAACCCAGACTATATGAATGTCATAGGCACTTATTTTGGAAAAGTAGAATTGAGAATAATCAATCTCTTTGTTAGCTGGAGGTTGGGGAAAAGAAATTGGGCCTGTTGCTACTTCAATTAAGTCGGCTTTATATTAATTTCAAAGAAGAAGAAAAAGTTAAAATTAATCTGTGCCATTTAAAAACCAATTCCGAAGCATCAGCACTGTTAAACCCAGCAAACAACAGATCTTGGGAAGGGGACTTTGCGATCCTATGAAAACCTCAGACTCTGTCTCCTTTCAGCTGACCCTCGGATGGCACCGCTCCTGGGGCCGGGAAGCAGAGTTCGGGGGCGCCTGGGCCTGAGACACTCTAACTTGTCCACTTTCATCAGCGTCAGACTTCCGTGCCAGAAGACTATCTGTTTCCTCCCTTGTGTATTGACCAATGCCAGAAATGGACCCATCGAATCCACTGGTGCTAAGGAGTTAAGCATCTAAGATTTAATTTAACAGTTTCAGCTTTATTAAGCTGTCACGGAGCGGCCCCACTTTGATAACAGTAGCTGCTCCGATTCTGGCTTGGTTTAGGGTTGACAAGTATAATGACTCATTCGTGGCACATGAGAAGCAATAAAAGGTTGTTTTGCATTACAGCTTTAAAAATGTGGGCACTTTTTTCATTTAATTTGTCACTTAGCTTTTGCTAAGAGGACATTTAAATTGCAGTAAAAGGCAAATGGGGCTTTTAGTTTAAATGTAATCCCCATATTTAAATGATCTGTAATGGCGCGGTGTTGGAGTGGGAACACTATTGTCTCACAGTGGGTCCTGATGGTGACATGTGACATTTGTATTCAGGTCCTGTATTATCCATGTGGCTAAAGGGCTTCCAATTTCATTTCACAGCCAGAAGCCTGCAGAAAACACCAATTAACTTGCAGATCCCATTTGCCGACAGAACTCAGCCTCTTCTCAATGTCTGGCATCTGGCAGTGCTCAGCATTTAATTCCAAAGCAGAGCCTTGAAGCAATGTGAGCCCTGTGCAGGGGCACAAAGTCAAATCCCCCCATTTTATTAAGAAGCACAATCCTTTCCTTTTGTAGTCCAGAAGCAACTTTAAATTTTTTTGTTGAATGAATTTGGAGATTTGATAGCTATTGTTACTTCTACAAGGGATCCTTCCCAGAACTTCAAATCCATTCAAGTGGCAAGAGTCTTCTGCTTGCTAGCCAGAGTCCATAGGAAAAGTCAGCGCAGTCTGCTAATGACTGTGGAGAGGGGACGGGGAGGTAAAGCGTGCACAAGAGAAAACACAGGCAAGAAGTTGTGTTCTTCAGCCTGGATTGAAATCAAAGAACTTGCATGGAAGCCTGGCCCATGATTAGAAAGGAAGCCTGCCAGAGGTGTAACTACCATCAGCTGGTGGGAACTTCCGCCCAACAGAATGTGCATACTTTAAAATGGAGCAGTGAGGGCCACAGCCTGCCAGTCCAACTTGGAAAGGTGAGATGTGAACAGGAATCAAATGTGAACACTGCAAACTTTACTTCACCCTAAATCACTTGTACTGTTTTCAGTAACCAAAAATGTTAGTTGATCATTCCTTCCAGTTATTTGAAACTCTCAACTTCTCTACAGGAGACCCTGTGGGCACAGAGAGCTCAGAGCTCTGCTGTGAAATGAAGGATCGGCGATTCGAATCCACCTGCCACTCCCCATGAGAAGGCTGTACCCGACTGCTTCCAAGACCCTTAGGGGCAGTTCTCCCACGTCGCTCGGATTGGGAATGCTCTCCGGGGTACACTGGTGGACAAACGGCTCCCAGGGCCACGGGTCTCCAAATGCATCAGTTTGTTACTAAACCAATAGTGTTTTCTAAAAGTTTCCCTTTCATTTGTTTTCTTAAAATAAAAATGCTAGTCCTTTGTAACTTTTCTAGTCAATGCAACACGTACTATATAATTAACAAAATTGAAAAGAGTCTCATTGGAAAAGACAGTATCTTATAAGAATGTTTGTCTAAATCACATGCTCGTGTTCTCTAACATGAACACCCTTCAAAACAATGACATAGCCTACTGTAGTTACAGATTGGCTTGAGTTTTCACTGGGAAAAAAGCCACTGTCCTTACCTGAGGGATGTAAGGAAAGTGGCAGACAAGTTACTACACGATATTTAAATCAAAGAGCTGGGGGAAAGATCAGCAAGTATCTCAAAATGTCGCGAGTCAAAGGAAACTTCAGTGTCGAATGCTTTAGCAATTTGCTGCATACCTCTGGGCCACAAGGTCACATTATAAAAGTTTCCTAATCGCCCAGGCTTCAAGTGACTTTCCTCATGTCTAAAACAGCTCACAACAAAGGTCCTTGTCAATTCTGATGATCTTGTGATGTCTTCATAGACAAGCTTCTCTTGATCCAGCCCAGGGGTTCGCAAACTTTTGAGACAGAAGAGCCGAGCCCTGTCCCTCACAACCATTTTAAAATTATTCAAAAACCATAAATATATTTTTACAAGCCACAGGAAACCACCATTACCCTTAAACTTTTTTCAATTTTACTTCAGAGCCACAGGTACATACCCGAAGAGCCACAGCTGACTCGAGAGCCGGGGTTTGCCAGCCCATGCGCTAGACCACCCACAATCTAGATTCAGAACCAGTAACGTGAACGAGCAAGCTAGCCGCACTGAGGCAGGGTTTGCCCAACGGAATTGCCCCAGCACAAAGTGGCCCACCATAAGCCAAGCGGAAGAGTCCTGCTGCACACTTTCATTGAGTCTGAAAGAAACAAAACCAAACTCATTGCCATTGAGTCGATGCCAACCCTTTAGAAAAGGGCAGAACTGCCCCCTGGGGTTTTTCTAGATTGTGACTCTGTGAGAGTGGAAAGCTTCATCTTTCTTCTGAGGTAGTAGTTGGTGGTTTTGAACTGCTGACCTTGCAGTTAGCAACCCACCATGTACACCCTATGCCACCAGTGCTCAGTTCAGAAGACCAGAAGCTCCAAATAAGTATGTGCAGGATTTTCTTCCCGTGAAGTTAACATAGGCACTGATCGAAGGCCAGGAATTCCAGTAGCCATTTCCTGATATCTTGATGGAAAGCAACCAAACAAATGCACTACTCTCCAATTCCTTATTTCCCTAGTAAGGAGCATTGGCTAACATAACTCATCCCAGGAAAATGCCCAGTATCCTTCTACTGAATAAAACTCATTATTTCAACTACCTGCTATATTTATCTCTGCCATCAGGGATTTGAAAAGTAATAAAATTTAGAGTTTGCTCTACCTTTTCCATTCTGGGGATCAACAGTTCGTCTAAGTCTACAGCAGCCCACAAAACATTAACGCCAAGCTACTTGTGATACTGTGTCAGCGTGGGCAGAAGGGAAGACCAGCTCCACATTTTAGCTGGCTCGATTATAAGGTTCAGCTACAAGCAAAGAACTAGCTCTATTAGACAAGTGTGAGGTGTTTTAAAGTAATGCAGCTGTTTTTGAAACAGGCAAAGGCAGATTCCTGACTTTGCTTTTCTCTGGAGCAGACAATCTTACCCCAAAGGCTGCCCCGGATGTTTCCTGCAAATGCACCCCAAGGGCCCATTCTCTCAGACAGGCAACCAGTTCATGCCAGCAGCTCTTTCCAGCAGCACCATGACCAAGTTTTTTAAACATTCAACTACGGTGTTTACCCACACACAACTCAAGAGTAATTTGTCAGGAAACTTGTATTTACCCAGCTCATCCCAGAGCTGCCTGTACTTGTCAGTCATCGCAGTGCCTTGCTGCCTCCACAGTGACAGGCGGGGGTCGGCCATGAACTGCTCTGTTATCAACGTCAACATGCGGGCCCCATTGGAATCCCTCATCTTCAACATCTCCCGCACCTGGTGGGCACAAAGAGCTTTTAGAAATGGTTCCAAATGCAAACAGTCACACTGAGAAAAACCTGTCAAAGAATTATTTTAAATTTCTTCCTGGTGATGCTGTTGGGGCCAAACCTTTATACCAACTCTCTTAAAAACTGGCCTCTATCTTAAGTGTCAATTTAATCAGAATTGTCTTTTTTATTTCATGATGCTTTAGCATTCACAAGAGGAAACGCAAGTTGGGCTTACTTCTCAATCTTCACACTTTTTTAGTTGGGTCTTTCCTATCCAGTCAAGGATAAGTGATTATACTGTGTTTCTAATGTCCAGTACAAGCACCCTTTCAAAGCTTCCTGCACAATCTCCCATCCTACTTAAAGCAAGTATGCTTTGTGGTTCGAGACTGTACTCCAGCCCCGACGACTACGTAATGTAAACCCTGGCAAACCAGAGAGGTGAAAGCTGGCACGGGGAACAGGTGTGTGGGCCTAACGAGATTAAGAAAACAGGCTCTAGCAGGGTGGTGCGGCTTCACTTCGATAAGATGCCATAGCACTGCCAGCCTAAAGAAACACAACACCCAAACAAACAAAAACGGTTTGGCGCCTTCCTGACTCTCCAACTGATGGTGTTTGCCGCCAGATTAGAGGCTCTTAGGGCAGAGCCCACTAAGAGGGCTTTAGGGAGCTATTGCAATGACCTGATAATGTTCATAATGACAGTATCTGTCCTTCAGGTTGCGTGTCTCAGTTTTACTGAGATGCAATTCACATACCATGCAATTCAGCAATGTACACTGTACAAGTAAATGACATTTAGAGTATTTCCAAGTTGTGTACGTTCTTCAGTTTTTCAAGTAAAAATCTTAATGGACTCTCTTACTGAAGTGTTGTTTTTCTGAAGTATATCAAGAACGGCATCCTACTTCCTTTCTCAGAATAGTCTGTCTTTACAAGAGGCAACAGACAGGGCTGTAGGTTCAAGAACCCTCTGGCTTTAAATGAGTGATCCGTTTAGCAGAGTAGCAGGAACCGCTGACCGGCAGATCTGAACTTGGTCTCGCGCGCGCTTTCACCTCAAGCCCTGTCCATAACTCTTGTGCTACATTTCCCAATTAAAAGAAAAGAAACAAAAGGTAAGCCTCTCTGCAGAAAACTGTAAATGAGTCTACCAATTCCAAAAATGTATAATGCTGCATGTTCAACATAAACCATCTCAGCTGAATAGCACTCTCCTTGTAAATCATTGAAGCATGGTCACAAGCAACAGAAAACCAATGGGGTTCCACTTGTTTGGGATTCTCCGTGAGAAAGGCAAGTCAAGGAGAAAATGCCAGATCCCTGACAAAGCTGGACCAAAGGATCTGCTCCAGGCCACAGAACCCTCACACCTGCTTTGGAGTCAGAGCCTGGTAAGAACCCAACACACTGGTCCCATGAGCCATAAAGGCTCCTTTCCTAAAGAGGAGCTACTGAATCAACTATGGATACACCAGGAAGTCATTTTAAAAAGTGGTGAAGGCCGGGTGAAGAAATGGACGTATCATTTACTAGACGTCACGTTAAACAGTTGTGCATTTATATTTACCACTCGATCTTTCTAACAACCATGTCATGTTTCTAATCCCCATGTTGCCAAGTAGAAAACCAGGCCCCAGCCAGGGACGACAAAGAAACTGCCTCAAAGACAAAGACAAATGCTGGAATAATCAGAACCCAGATCTGTCTCACTCCAGCGCTCCAGCCCTCCCCAAACTTACACGGAGCTGTTACCTCATCTGGCACATATAGTACATAAATCACATATAGGAATCAAAATGCCAACTGAAGCCTAATCTCATATTACCCTTTCCACATTGCTTCCATGAGCCATAGTGTATACTCCGCTAACATAATATTTAAAAAGTTTTCTATATGTCCAAATACAAACTTTTACATTGCCACTGTATCTATAGGTTCGACTAAATGTTTACTTTACTCAACAAGTGCAATGAGCAAGCGCTACTATTACGCATGTGAACTAGAACTCTTTGAACCCGCATTCAAGTACATCTATAGTCTAATGGTAATTAATTTCCAGACTGTTGACTCTAGGCATTAGGAGAGTTTGAAATCCCAGTGAACTATCAAAGAATGATTATATCACATCTGAAATCACTTGAGTTAAATGTATTTTATTGAAATCTAATTCTTGGAAAACTGGCTACATACAATCAGGATACTATATTTTCTTACCATGCCCAGTAATAGAATTTAGTTGAGGTCTTCGGAATTAAAAAAATATATAGATATTTTAATTATATTAGAGAACTATTTAACTAATTGTCAATGAAAGACAATTATTTGTTTCTTTGAAACTAATTTGACTATATTATCTACAATGATGGGTATAGCCTCAAGAACCAAAACACATTAATAAATAATTATCCAGCATTTTAAAATATGATTATATTGTAAACTAAAAGTCCTATATAGAACAACAGATTCCGTTTCTACTCAGAACGATCCTCTGCGGCAGGTTACCTTTACGTCTTAGGCCATCAACTTTCAGTGATGAAATTAACACTGAGTTCGCCCAGCTGTGTCCTGCACACTATGACCCCTCCACACCATACCTGTGTCCAGAACCTCACACTCACTGACATCACGTGATCTCAGATTGTTATGAGCTCATTTGACAGTTGAGGAATGGGCTTCAGTAGCTAGCCAAGGTTCATGTGGTTAGGATAACACACCTTGGATCATAAGCAGGTCTGTATGGCTCCAAAGCCTATGCTTCTAAAACTAATTGAGACAGTGGAAGTATTAAACTAAACACATGAAGCACATTTTAAGGATTATATTCAAAGTCACTTCATACTTTGGGAAAATATGTAGAAACGGAAAAAATACTTCAGAAGATGGCATTCTAAATAGCATGAAGATATTTATTTTGTGTGTAGTACTGAAATATTTTTTCTGAATTATGCCATGAGCACTATTTTATTGATCAAAATTGAGATGAAGAAATTGTTCCATATTGTGTCTGAGGTCACCAAAGCAAATCAAAGCTTACATTACAAAAGTGCCTAATTCATCCATGAACGTACACCCTCTTAAAAAGTAAAGTCTTTATCCTATAGTAAACATGACTATGTATAGAAAATTTCTATGTATTCATACTTTTCAGATATCTCTCTGAAAGTAAACAATCATACATACCTTCGCAAAGAGCAAGTTTAGTTGCTTCCCTGATCCATGGTACCCGCCCTGGGAGAGGAACAGCTTAACCTGTTCTTGAACCTGCTCTTCATCCAAGTGCCAGCAGTTTTCATCGTCGATACTAGCACCCGCTGTTGGGTCGGGAGCACCTGGAGAAAGAAACAAAACACGCATGCTCCATTACCAGTCCTGTGCCCCAACTTCACAATGATTAAGACGCTCTTATTTTTCATGCTAACAAGTTTTTAATACGACTTCAATTCCAATTATACATGCAAATGAATGACTGAAGTAAATACAAGCATCACTTCCACTTTCAGGTCTTTCCTAATTTGCCAAGCCAACATGTAGATTACTTTAGAAATGAGATGTTGCTTTCTTTCTTCATTGAAAGAATCTGAAGACATCTTCCAAAGTATTCTTAATGGCATACAATAGTTTCACTTAACTAGGAAAAAGGGTTGGCCTTGAGGATTAAGCTTTTTCAAATGACTACCTATATGGACTCAAACTGATTAGATAGGAATCTTAGCGGGGTAAAGAACATAAGGCCATGTTTGAGGAACAACTCAGAAACGGCGGTAAGGATGGTTTAATAACTTGAGGAATGTAATCAACATCATTAAATGGTCCAAAGAGGGCAAGAAAAAAGGCAGCAGCAGCAGAAGCTCTGTCTTTGGAATGTAGTTTATATGGATTTTTTAAAATGAAAACATCACAGAAAAGTCTCATTATATATATGTGATTTTCACAAAGGTCTACTGTGTATGACTTGCCAGAAAAATATTTTTCAAAGGCATTAGAAAATGTGAAACCAAAGACACTCAGCAGTCTCTCTTGACTTAATTCAAGAAGCTTCCACTATTACCCGCTGCTGTATAAGCTGCCTGGTGGCCCAGTCTTCACTTGCAGAAGTCCCAAGATGAAAAAGGGAAATCAAGCCACAGGGGAACAGGCAGTGCAGCTGTTGTACTACACCAGGCTGTAGTATCACCTTGCCAAACCACGTAAATATTTTATTTCTGAAGTACGCACAAAAGATAACTGCTATATAACAAGCCCTATGTGTACTGACTATCTTAGAAATTCAAAATTTACTCAGATTTTTAGGTAGGTAAGAAAGCGTTTCATTGTTTGTTAATAAGATAAAGTGGTATTTTAAATCCTTCAGACCGTAAGTAAAATGCATACACAAAAGGTATAAAAATCTTTCATTCGTACTGTTTCATTTCTGTAGCAAACCTTAAAAATGCATTTGCAGGTGTAGTTTTACATTATTTTTCTTCTCTCCTAGAGATCTAATGCAGACCCAAATCACCAAGATAATCAAAAACTTCTGCTTAGAACCACCATCATTAGTCCCCAGAACAGCGGTTCTCAACATGTGGGTGGCGACCTCTTTGGGAGTTGAACCCTTTCACAAGGGTCGCCTGACTCATAATAGTAGCAAAATGACAGTTGCCAAGTAGCAACGGAAATAATTTTATGGTTGGGAGTCACCACAAGAGGAACGGTATTAAAGGGCCGCGGCATTAGAAAGATTGCGAACCACTGCCCTAGGAGGAAAGCAGTGGCAGTCCATGAACTTCCCGATTAGGCTTGTTCATTGGTTCATGCATTCAACCAGCCAGCATTTATTGAGTACCCAACACAGTGCCAGCCCTCTGCTACACCTAAGGAAGTGGCTGTCAAGCTTTTTATACCAATACTCAAAGTGGGAAAAAAACCATTTCATATAACTCATGTGACTGCATACATCTACCTCTCCACTAACAGACACAAAGTTTGATGGAAAAAAAATCCTCACTATGGATGCTATTTTCTATTGTATGAGTATTTCCTATTCTATTTCAGTTCTTTAAAAAGCATGTCACAATGTCTTGTTTCATAACCCATAATGGGTAGCAATACGTAATTTAAAAACCAATGTTGCATTGTGTAAAATAAATTGTCAATCCAATGACTTTATAGTAAAATATTTTATTTTTTAATTCATTTTAAAATCATTTGATTGGGGGCTCTTACAGCTCTTATAATATTCCATACATCAATTGTATCAAGCATATTTGTATAAATGTTGCCATCATCATTTCCAAAACATTTTCTACTTAAGCCCTTGGTATAAGCTCCTCTTTTCCCCCTCCCTACCACCCTCGTGAATCCTTGATCAATTACATATTGTTATTATTTTGTATCTTACGCTGTCCATTGTCTCCCTTCATCAACATTTCTGTTATTCGTCGTCCCCTTCGGGGGATGCTATATATCCAACCCTGTGATGGGTTCCCCTTTCTCCCACTTCCTGACCATCCCCCTACCCTCATGATATCACTACTCCCACTACTGATCCCGAGGAATTTCTGTCCTGAATTCCATGTGTTGAGAGCTTTTATCTGTACCCATGTGTGTTCTCTAGTCTAGCCAGATTCGTAAGGTAGAACTGGGTCACAGTAGTGGGGGGAGGAAGCACTCAGGAACAAGAGGAATGCGCTGTGTTTAGTTGGTGCTATACTGCCCCTGGCTGAATCATCCCTTCATTCTGACCCTTCTGTGAGGGGATATTCAATTGTCCACAGATGGACTTTGGGTCTCCACTCCAAACTCCCTCTACACATCAATATAGTTGGTTTGGATCTTTTGATACCTGATCCCATGGACCCTTCATGATCACACAGGTTGGTGTGCTTCTTCCATGGGGGCTTGACACTTCTCTGCTAGATGGCTGCTTGCTTAACTTCAAGCCTTTAAGACCACAGATGCTATTATCCTTTGGTAGCTGGGTACCATCCTCTCTCTTCACCACACTTGCTTAAACACCCATTTTGTCTTCAACGATCGTGTTGGGAAGGTAAGTAATAAAAGAGTGCCAGGTTATTAGAACAAAGTGTTCTTGTGTTAAGAAAGGCCTTGAGTAGAGGACCAAATTCTGTCTGATATCTTAATACTTAACATATAAATATATGTACAATGGTCTCTATTCCTTTCATTATAAATTAGTATATTTACTTATATACATGCCTATTAGCCATACCTCTATAAATAGCTTTTGCCTCCTATTTCTTTCCTCTATTTCCTTTCACCTTCCTCCTATCCCACTATCATGCTCACCCTCCATTTGACTCTCAGTAGTTCCTCTCAGACACATTACACTTGATTAAATCCCACCAGGCATTATATGTCCTCCTTGCCATCAATTTTAGATGTTATTGTTCCCTTATCCCTGAGTTTTATAAACAATTTTTAAAAACACACTGCCATGAAACCAATTCTGACTCATAGCGACCCTATATAGAATTTCCAAGGCTGTTGATCTGAACCACCGAACTTGAGTTAGAGGTCCAATGCTTACCCAAGACCACCACCAGGCCATAATAACATGTGAGAGTAAGTACCCAGAAAAGGTGGGGTGTTGGGAGACTCCTTATCAGGGAGCTGTGGCTTTACCTTAGCTGGTCAGAATAAGCAAACCTTCCAAAGACGACATCTGAACTGAGATCTGTCTTAAGTAGATTCGCAGTTAACTAGATGGTAACTAGGAGCAGGTATAGGCACTTGAAAGGAGTGACTGGGTCTGTATAGGGGACTAAGAAAAGAGCCTGGGCAGAGGCTTCCGGAGGGAAGGTACATGGTGCACTGAGGAAATAAAAGATGGTCCAAGCAACAAGCATCATAGACGGAAGAGCAAACCAAGACAACACTGGGGAAAAGCCACAGACCCAGAGGGGTGAGGTCTGTTCGATGCCGTAAGCGTAATGACTGGGAAGAAAAGGGATTTCTGAAGTAGTTAAAGGGCAAAGTCAAATACACTTTTTAAAAAGATTAATTCTAGATAGTGAAAGACATCTTGTCCTTACAAGCACCGATTTCAACATGGACTCTACGACGGGCTGCAAAAGGAAGGTGAAGTGGCCCTCTGCAGCACAGGGAAAGGAACCTCGGATGTATCCTAGGCTTGCAAACCAGTCCAGACATGGCTGTTGGCAGCAAGGGCACTGTCCCCGTCGCACAGCGGCTAAGTCGCTGTGTTTGGATTTTCAGCCCCGTAGGAAAGAGGAGCCCTGAGCTTTGAACTGTTGATCTTGCTTATAGCAGCCCAACTCCAAACCCACTATACCACCAGGGCTCCTTTTATGTAAAGAAAGATTTTTAGATTTTTTTAAATTGTGCATAAAGTACAGCATTCCCTGTAAATCCTCCATCTTTGCACTCCTATCTCTGAATACCTTTGCATACTTTTGAATCATGTGGATCATACCTTGGAATCTATTTAAAAATATCACTGAAGTGTGGAAGAAAGAGTGGTGCACACAAATATTAATGAGGCAAACAGTGAGGATGCTGTTCCCTGGTCTGCACCGATGAAGGTGATGGTGCACTGAAATCCAGGGGAGGGAGCAGAAATGAAGAATCCGACAGGAATTTAGGCCATAAACACTATCGGACCAGCGGATATTGAAGCATGGGGGAGCAAGGGTCAACAGGGGCTCCTAGGTTAAGCAAATGGGTAAGATATTAAACAAAAGTCATAAATAACGGCAAGTGGCTTATTAAGGAAAAGCTCAAGAGACCAGGGCGCCACAGAAGGCGGGAAAGGAGGGGCTTTTCCAGTAAGGGCTGGGCAGATGGGTAGATGTTGAAGCTCCTCGAGCGCCAGGACACTGTCTGTCCTGCTCACCTGCCTTCCTACCACCTGGCACGGGGTCTGCCAGTATCAAGCTCCACAGTACTGGGAGCAAGGGGGCCGGAAGGAGGGACATAGATACATGTGCATTCTTCCCGCTGAAAAAAGGACTCACAGCAAAAAGGCTAAGAGCTACTCCCGATATCATCCTCCTGTGCTGATCCCCTTGTCTCTTCACAAGGCCCCTCTGCAGTGTGTATGCACACGATCCTCCTTCGACAGAAGGAGAAGCTGGTCCAGTCATTAGGGCTTGTCCACAGCCACACGAATAGATCCGTCTCTAACTCTGGAGCTAAAGTTGGATCTGAGGTCATCTAACACTAAGTCTGTGGACACTGTTACTATAGTTCTCTTTTACAGGCAGTTTTAAATATATATTAGGGTAAGTAAAAAAGTACTACTGTAAAACCATAAAAATCTTTATTAAACACAGACTTCAAACTGTGAAGCTGCTGTGACCTGATGTTG